TAGGGAACTCTTCGTCTCGTCAAAAGGAAGTGGGAACTCTAATCAGAACTCCTGAGTACTATAGTTGGGGTGCTAACTTAACATACCCATTAGACGAGACGTATACTGAGAAAAAATCCGAAATACCTCGTTGACATTACTAAAAATCACTTTTTTACAACTATAGATTCTGCGTTTACGGAACGAGTCCTCGGTGCCCCAGTTGAGAATTTTAAGGGCTACGTGGAGGCTGATCTCACGCAACGGGCGAGATTGGTGCCCAGTCATAGCCTTTATCTTCTTCATGGCCTAGCTGACCTCACAGCGCCTTACACGCACGGCGTTGCCTTCGCCAAGGCTTTGTCCGAAGCGGGAGTCATCTTTAGATATCAGGCAAGAGAGTGAAAACAAACAACGCAGGTGCGTTGAAGACTACTCGAATTAATTGTCGTTTCCTCCTTTTGAAACAGAGTTACGCGAACGAAGATCACGCTCTGAGAGGCGTGCTCGAACACGCTTATCGTTCCATGGAGGACTTCCTCGCCGAGTGCCTCGCTCTGGATGCCTCCTAGTGCCTCAATCCGAAGAATCCTTTGTTGTCTCTAGTGCGTCTATTTCCAATACATCCAGAACGGACGTTAATACGAAGACTCGTCCTCGAGGTCACGGCAATTACACTCGTAAACGGGATGATCTTCTCATTTAGAGCCTGAATCGCGATATAAATCAGGCCGCTGGGAATGCGAAAAAAGCGAGAACAATCGTTTATCCGAATAAAGGAAGAAAAGAAAAGAAACGCCGTTTGACGTGCGTATATGTACGAGTTTATGCGATAAAATGGAGACTGATAGAGAGAATTACGAAACGGAAGTAAAATGGTACCTGTATGAGCAATATCGTTATGACGTATATATCATTTGCCTAAAGATTCCTCTTTACTACGGGAAAATCACTCACTTTACTTTTTGGATGTGTATCTCTAGCGATATTTGTATTGTCAAACTATGAAAAAATCCAGAAAAGATATCTGATAGGAACGAAGAGCGACGGATCGTCGTCTGTTTAACGGAATTTTGTACATTAATGAACGACATCGCTCGCGTTTCCCGCGCAAATTCAATATGATAGTTTCATAGTTTGTCAGGCAATATGAATTCTTATTAAACAGCGCGAGTGGCTTGTTCAACGACGCGCGCGTCGCAAAGTATAATACTTAAGAGTCAAACGCGCGTACGTGCCGTGAAATCGGGCGAGTTTTGAAAAGCGAACAATGAGAATGAGGTGGGTGTTCAAAAACGTAGACCGAATTATTACGTGCGGAGCTTGTCGTATCGACGGCTTGCAAATCCGCGTTGTTCGCGTAGCGCCATCGGGACGACGACGTTGTGAAATCGGCGCCGAATGTTTGCGAGCTCGTCATTAACTTGCTGTGTTCCAAGTCCCAAGGGCGCTCATACAGGAAAGGTCTGAGATTTCGTAGTAAATGACTAAAAGCGAGATTAATACGACTGTATAACACTTCAACGTACAGAGCTTATTGGGAGTCTGCAAACTTGCACTTTTCTTTGTGCCCCACTTTTCAAACGGAATTTATCAAATCACAGTGCTCGAATAACTTCAATATATGTCTCGACATGGGGGACCGGCTCTGAGGACTGCGAGAATCCCAGAGGAGGTCTCTAAGGTCTCTCGAGGTTATGTATGTTCGGAAGAAAGAGTTTGCAAGCTTCCGTCTTACACGTTCTCCTTTTTTTCTAGCTACGTCACTGGTGCCTCCCCGATTTTAAACGGAGAAAAAGTATCTACGCCTATGCGGTGACGTTCGTCCACAGCCATCGACATATATATATATATATATATATATTACCGTTATATATAGAATCCGGACGGTTATTGTGAATTTTGTGTTGTACAGCTTGGCGCCTAGTTCTATGTATCGTAATGTTACACGCGTAAAAAGTTGTTTCACACAGATCCTTAGTATCCCCATCTCGACCCGCCCCTCCCCCCTTCTCCCCTACCCGTTTGAATTTTGAATATTTGTACATATATATACACCCAGAAGAAATGTGAAGCTTCTTCGACGAGGTCCCGCGCAGATGCTTGCGCAGGAATCGTGAGTGATTCATAAATAGAGAAAAGCGATATCTTGTTTTTTAAATGACTGATTTTCGACGAGATTTACGAAAATACGCTTGTCGGAGTATACGTGTGAACTAGGATCTCGTCGAAGATGCAGGTATCAGACTCATTGTATACCTCTTCGAGAAATACATCGATCGATCCCGAATGGATGAACGACTAAACAGACGATATACTTACAATCGTCAGGATTAGCTGTCGGTCATCGATCAGGCACGATCGACTTACGATGTTGCGGCTCCCGAGTACTTGCTTGCTTTTGTCGTACTTTCAGGTGGAACAGTGAAAGACAAGATATGGCGAGACATCGTACGCTTATTGTCACATATGACTGACTTCGCTGCTCCACTATTGTATAAAAGCGAACGCTCGGAAACCTTATAAACACGACGTCGTCGAAGAATAAAAGGGCTCGTAAAATGTCTCGAAAATATCTGCGGCAACGTCGATGTTTTTACGATACGTTCCACATAGATTTAGTAATCTATGAGATTTAAAAAATCGAAGCATGAGAACTTCGGAAATTATTGCCTTACAATTTGACGTCACGATTCATTTGCGTTTTTAAAAGTTGTAAACTTAGAAATTTTCTATACATACACATATATGTCTTTCGATAGAGTAAGTCTTTTAATTTATCACTGATTTTATCATTACTAGTTTTATCTAGAATATTAGAATTTATATAGAATTTTGCTACAAATTAAGACGAAATATCTCGGTTATCTCAATTGTATTACAAAAATACGCTTTCTAACTGAAAAAGAAAAAACGTAAAGTAATTTCGTTATAAAAATTTTAAATCGCAGATAGTGTTCGAGATTATATGTCAATATAATTTCTAGTTCGAAAATACGGATAGTTTACGAGTCCAAATGTTAATTAGAGAAGAAGCGCGCTCAGAGGAAGTGGCGCACGTCGCCATATGTATGCTGCATGTACCAGCAGCCCTTAAATGCCGACAATCAAGGCTAGTGCAACTAATCAAACGATAATAAATAGAAACGGAGAGAAGAGAAAATTACATAAAATAATTTTAATGAATACTCGTGAATGACCGCTATGGTTCGAGCGTATTGTAAACCGCCGCGACGAAGTCTAAGTATTGCCAAACTATCGCGATCGAGAAGACTTCGCGAAAGCGATTTTTGCGAGGAGATATAAAAATATTATAGACGCGAAGGGTCGTTAGGTCGAGATGATGTGCCCGCTGTCGACTGTAGAAAGTACAAAGTTGTAACGCGTTATGGAGGCTTTGAAAAATTCTCCGTTGAATGGATTTATTCTTAGAGAGGTTTTTCAATCTCCTTTCGCTATCTTTTAATGTTAACCATTAAAAATCAGACGGCTGTAATGAATCTTCCAATAAAATTAATGTGCAACGTTATGTACATACAATGCGCAACAAGCGTTAAGTTTAACCGGACTCCTCCATTTCGCGATAAATGAATGGTCGTTTGTAGTGAAACAAAATGTTCGTTGTCAACAATATCGCTTCCATTTATTCCTGAATAAATATAACGTGAGCGATCGAAAAGCGAATTGTTCGATCCCAAGTGGAAGAAAGAGTGATTGTTCGATCGATTGGATTCGGAAATGCGAGCCATAAATAAAATGACGGGGAGGGGGAGAAAGAGTAATAATGGTAGAATGAATGAGAGCGAGAGAATGTGTGCGTGTGTAAATCACAATCAATTATTAAATATAATAACGGCAGAAAGTGAGGCAAATTGTTAAACGTAAGCATATAGGGCATCGGAAAAAAATATCACGAAGGCAGACACGCAATATGTACAAGCATGCGAATTATGAAATTAATCGCAACAAAGAAACCTTGGTAGCAACGCATAAGGGTATCTATAGCTTTTGGTAACGTATTATCGCCGCTAAAGAGGAAAAAAAACATAAAAGGCAATGAAAAATACACTCGTATGGGCATAACACGCAAACACAAACATATACATGCAATATATTAAAAGAAACAGATAATTTTCTCACGCGGAAGTCAATATAAGGATTGGGCCGTGCGAACGCATGAATAAATTAATGCGGATTAAATATGTACATTCGTCGCATAGGTCAATCGACCGATCAGAACGATCGTCAAACAGAACGCGTTAATTAAATTTGGCAGTCCAGATTTTTTTTTAATATATATTATATTTACACTCTGATTTCTCAAAAAACTGAAAATGCAACATTTTATCCATACGAATCTGTGATGATTATTAAGAGAAATATAAATTTTTCAAATAATTTCTCTTTTTGTCTCTTTCTATCCATACTTGAAGTCGAATAGAAAATTTCAATTCTTTAATCGTTTGACGATCATTGACAATTAGCGATTAGAGAACATTGACTTCTTGAAGATGAGTGACGCTTTTTTTCACGATTTGTGGCTACAAACGCATCTGTGTCCAGTCGGAAGCGTGTCCGGCAGTCTTGAAAGATTGTTTTTTATATCCATTTCATCGAAATGCTTGATACGCGTTCCATATACGAGAGCCACTGATGTCGTTCGAGCTGCTCGATCGATACTCGCCTTCAATTAGTATCGCGGAACGGATACGGAAAGTTATTTCTACTCGATTTTTGGCGATATTCGCACGGACCTGTACCCGAAACATCCACGAAATCGGCCAATCAATGGTACCGACGGTAAAAAAAGTAAGCGAGATAAATCTTCAGAAACTGGAATGCAAGTTGATTAATTCAAAATTTTTTATTCTTTTATTATATTAATATAGTATCAGAAGAGGACATAACTTTTTATATTATTTCAAAAAAGCTTACTGATGCAAATAAAATTTGCACACGTTCAATAAATATCAGAAAATTATTTCAAAATTTATAATATGTTAACAAAGTCTATTAGTGACTTTATTTTATTTCGGTCATCATAATTTTTTTATTAAGGATTATTCAAAAAAGTTTCAAAACTTTTTCAGTTTGACGAGAATTGACTGATTAATAAAAAACTGAGATCCACAACTCGATTAAATTTTCGAAAGCAATTGCAGTTAACTTCGTTCATGAGTTCATAACATGCCGCCGATTTCGCAGATGTCATCCAAGTTACCTTCCACGTAACATCCACGAAATAATCATGTTATTAAGATTCTGCGTTTTTTAATATCAGCGAAGCTCGGCCCGGACACCGGGTGGATAAAGTGTTTTCAATAAACTGTTACATTATCTGAAGTATTCTTAATTCTTCCTCAATGTTGCATCTTTCACGGACGACTTATTTTAATAGCACATAATAATTAAAGCATCGAGGCGCTGCAGCAGACTTGAGAAATTATGATTTCTCGTCGAACGAGAAAAAGAAAAGGCACAATTTACTCAAACAGTTTTAAGCAAAAAAATATTAACGCATACGGAACCATTAATTATCCGAAAACCCGGTAAATATAATTTTATTGAAATATCTTCTCTACTGTGGACGTTATTTAAAGTATACTTATATAATTTTATATTCAAGACTGTACGAACATCCATATGAAACTCGTTCGAAAAGAAATCTCCGTGAGATAGAAATGATAGATTTGATTAAATCTCTTATCCCATCGAGACGATCATCCGATAGCAGTGTTATATATTTAGGTTCATTTCGTAAAAATCCGCAGCTTATTACGTTAGAAGATAGCAACGATAGCTTTCTCGAAAAAATTGTTGAACGAAACATGGATCGATGTCAAAATGAGAAGTCATTTAAAGTAACACATATATTTTATTCATTATAAACTAATTTTTTGTCTCCTTTGAAAAACGTAATAACGATAATTTCATAGAATTAATTCCAACCAAATATTTTCATAAATTTTTCGAAAGTCTCTCTCATCAAATAGATTCCACTTTAAATATAATCCTGACCATCTATTTTATAAGATAAATACGTCTCGGTAAAGAAGTTCTTTGAAAAGGAGGACACTGCCTCCATTTCTGCCTTGCCCTTCCGCAATATGCTCAGCTGCTTCGATATAGCTTCGTTTACGTAACTCCGGGCTTCGATGGATTTCAATTTTATGAGATCGGCTTCGCTGAGCGGGATTGTTTTTGCTCCTATAGGGATCAATTCCGAGGGGTGGATTCCGAGCCAACGTGCGTTAGGACAAGCCAAGCTCTTGTTTTCTTTACAAAGGGTCGATGAACCGAAGCTGCGGAAACCAGTGTAATAGAAATATATTGAAACGGAATATTTCTTAAATAAAAATTAAACTAGCACGTAATATTATCTAAATTATGTAATACACTCAATTTTTGTATCAAGAAAGATTATGATAAAGAGCTATAAAATTAGAGAAAACTCATATTTTCTTTTCTAACAAAAATAACGGCAGTTTCGCTGAAATTACCGATAAATTAACATAATGTCTACGCCGAAAGGATCCGCGTCTACAACTATATAAACCGGCAATTCCATTTTCTCGGATAGCATCTTGACAAACATCCTCGTAGCTACATCCGGATAACCTTTTCCCGTCACTAGAATGCATTTTAGGAAGCGAGAACAGTTTTCCTCGAGCAACTTTTGGAAGACCGCGTCCTTCTCAATAACCAGGACGAACTCAGCTTTCACACGAACGGAAATTATGTTTGAAATAATTTGCGGAATCTGCGCGCCGCCTGGTATCGTACAATCAATAACTTGATTATCGACTAATGTGATGGTCATATTTCCTGCTACCAATCCTTTAGCCGTTGCCAGTAGTCCTGGAAAGACTTTCACTCATTGATTTTTGTTTTGTATTCTTTATTTTCTTCATATTTATTATTGCATTGCATCAGTATATAGTTTTAATTACAATATTTGCAATTAATTGATCTCTTCCTATAATTAAAAAGTGTTTGGCTAACTCACGCAAATCCCATGGCGCGCATTTTAACAAATTAGCGATATCATTCAACGCACGATCGACATATCGTTGATTAGGTACCAAATATTTGGTTGTCTGGTTCTTTAAATCGTAATAGAATGCTCTTCTGGTCTTGGTCGTGTTCGTTAACAACAAATGATGAACCTCCGCCATTATCATCGTTATTAGAACAAACTTGTTTCTACTACTTTTCACTGCGAAATCGATGGTTGTCTTTTCCGAATTCTGAATATCTCTATTATCTGTATTCTTTTCTTCGACAGAATCAGTTAAAGTATCATTGAAAAACATCGTTTCCTCTCGGACTTGTGAATGTGGATCGACTGAACATTCTGGATAAACATTTTCTTCGCGTGTACTTGATTTCGAAATAACATTTGAGCCACTAAAATAGGATATACACGGTGTCTGTCCATTTGATATCTGTTCTATTATCTTTAGCGTAACAGCTTCGATGCGTGCAATTAAATCCTTCCTATAAAAACATCATACGCGAAAAAATATAAATTACGATATAATCAACGATATAATATTTATAACTTTACGAAATTATAAATTTTCATTTAAATCTATTTATTTTCGAATAATAAAAAATATACAAGCACAGTTAATAAATGTTTTACCTCAACTCTTTATTGTCGACTACCGATATTTCGATAAGTTTCTCACGAACACCTAGATATTGATTAGCGTCCGACGCATTTGTTTGCCCATAAAATTTTTTATTTGCGTTTTGCATTTTATCTAAATAAATAAATGAGATATATAAATAATAATATATAATTAAATTAAGTTTTATATTTTTTATAATACATTACTTATATTGTATATTGAGATTATATCCACAGAAAAGTACAAGAAAAATGAGAATATGAGAAAATAAAATCAAATATAATTATTTATAAAATTACGATTTAATATAATAATTATTTATAATTATCATTCATTAAATAGTTGTAATATCTTTCAAAATTATTAACCCTAGTTTTAGTTCTTCTTTAACCCAACAGATGTCTTTAGCTTGTGCAAAGTAGACTGTATGCAGAAACCATTTTTATCGACAGAACTATATAAGAAAAAAAAAATATATAATTTATTTTTTCGTTTTTTAAACCCCATGACTCTATAAATTTTTTTATTAAACAATTATTATTTCTATTTACTATCGAATTTAAAATTTCAAAAGAGTTTTTCATAAAGAGTCTTTCTTTTGTAGTAAACAAAATAATACATAACATAATAAAATTTTTCTAAAAATTTTTTTTTATAAATAGTAATAGATGACTGATTTTTTATCAACTATTGATATTATCAACTTAAATAATACTAGATATATAATTAATCAAAAACAGATACGTATTTTTGTGAATCATGACGATAATGTAGATATATATTCATTTATATTATTGCACTATTACATATATGTATATATTATGGTATAAAAGCGTTTCACAAAGAAATCACTTGGTAATTTTATTAGTTTCATTGATAAAGAATAAATAAATTACTAAGCAATTATTAACTTTTACACCACCCATTTTGTGTTAATTAAGCATTTGTGTAAAAACGCCTATATATAACGTCTGGAGCGGCATAAAATAATTGTGACACAAAAAAGAATGTCATTAGATTTAGAGACGAAAATCGAATCGAGCAGAGAGAAGATCCGGATACGCTTTTCAGTCGTTAAATGTTACGAGACGAGTTAAAAGGCGCGTTGGTAGATAAAATCTACTACCTATCCGAGGCCGACATTCTCACAGCAATAAACATATTAAGACCCGACGTATGAGGTAAAGTATTGGCCAGGAAGACTCGCTCGAAACCGTGACGGAGTAGACATTAATTTTTCTCCCGATCACCGACATTCATATCGAAGTGGCGAATCTCGAGAGAGGCCCCGGACACCCCGCTGCGCATTTGTGAGCACCGACCATTGAACGACGCGCTACTGTACGCGCTAAAGACACTTCAGGGACTTATTGTGAGCGCGAAACACACACCCCTTACTGCAAAACGTTCGATTGTAACGAAATTCAGCGCGCATTCACCACTATTCTAATAGGAAGTCGTCCGGAAGGCGAACGTGACCAAAATTAGCCATTTCCGAGTTACAAAATCCATAGGCTCTCTCTCTCTTTCAGAAAATTGATTATATTTCTGAAACAAATATATTTATAAAAATTTAAGAAATGTTCAAGTAATACATATATATACATATATAGTATATACACAATGTGTAGTAAAATATATTTCAAAATTACGGTCGATTCATGCGAAACACTACTGTGACGAAAATGGAAATAACGAGCATCGAGGGTTCTATCCTACACACATTTCCCTAATCCATGACATGCGCTGGGTTTCAAATACCTTCGCAAATGGAGGACAATGAATACTAACGAGCAACTGTGACAGCTAATGTGTGCCAAAATATTATATTTCGGAGACAAGAATAAGAAAAAATAAGATCCGTGACGTAAGTTAATTGGCTGAGATTGGGAACATTTATGATAATCTTATAAAATTTTAGAATAGAGGATATCTGTGAATTCGCACTAACAAGCGTCGTTCATGTACGGAACAAAAGTAAAATACCATCTTAAAGTTCTGGCCTCTTAGATGCTCATAACGGGATTGTTCATGAAAAAATAATACAGGGCGGCGGCAAGCACACTCACACTCGGTTTCGCATTAAAGATACTCCAAGGCTGCGCTGCTACAAAGGGGGATAGTGTTACATTGTGCAACGAGCACAGTGGAGAAACAGCCCTAAGAATGCTCTCGCCAGCCCTCAAATAGCCCGTATATAAACCAACACGCGTCGCCAGCACGTCCTTAAAATGTCAGTTGGATGCGCGATGAAGGAGGAAGAATCGCATAGATATTCACGAAATCTCACGCGAATGCACTCGATGTACCTCGTCAGGGTGATAATCCCTTCTGGCGTGAATGTTCACGCGCAAACACGAAGGAAACTGGACGCCTGCCTGCAAGAATGATGGATACAAAAATATTTTATCATGCTATGATGGGAGGATTAAAAGCACCCGTACGTGAAGTACCTGTCGAATTCTGTGACTTCCGGTTTATCGATTTACAAGAATAGAAATGAAGTCGTGGAGAATAGTCGACTACGAAATTCTATGAATGTCAATACCACGATAATCTTTTTTTTTTGGTTCCAAACATTCCCCTCGATTTGAATTCGTATCGAAACTAAATACCCGCGGTCGATCGAACGTGGAAAATACCTGTCGCATATCAACTAGCTTGCTACTGGAGGTCAGGGATTTTTGTAACCCGATATGCCGGCATTCTACGATCAACTAAGACCTAAATGCCACAAAAATATATACTTATAATGCCGCAAATCGTCGATGTTCGAAGCTTGATTCTATTCAAGAAATCGTAACAGTCGAGGTTTTTCCAATTGGCGACACTGAGAGATCGGATCTCTTGTCGTTCCTTTATTCGCGTCTTGGTACATTCAAGGCGATTTTCAAAGATAGCATCAAATTTGTCCAAACAGGGGAACGCGGCTGTGAAGCAGCACGAGGGTTGCCCAACGTACCGACTTAGAAAAAGTCAGTAGGGTGACTATTAGTCAAAATTACTACACCTTTCAACATTGACGCATTTACATTAATTTATAAATATGAGTATGTAAAGCAAACGAAGCAATAAACTATTTCAATTCATTGACATTTCATCAAACATGCCCTAAATTTGAAGCAACAGCTTAACTTTCAAAATGGAGGAAATTTCCTAGTTTCGCTGATATAGGCGTGAACGATTGATCGTTTGAAGTGCACTTATCGAGACTACTTGAATGTGCCGCGGTTTTCGAGGGATCGAGCAACGTTATTGTAGCGACCGCCGTGTTCACACACTATAAGGAGGGTTTGACGTGCGGCACTTGACTTAAACGTGAGCTTGGGAAAGTCTAAAACATTAAAACGACTGTCGTCACGCGTGATGATATTTAAACGATCTATCAAGTATTTGATTGAAATAACCGGATGTGAGATAAAAAAAGTATTTTTTTAAATAGATCCAATTAGTTTCAAACCTAATTTAATTGTATAAAGATATCAAGATGTAAGATGTGTCTCCACAAATGATGTGTCTCGAAATTATGCTTGTTCAGATGCAGGATACTGCAAATCAATTAAAATATTTCGAAAAGGTGTGCAAATTTTAAAGCGACGGTATAAAGAAAATGATTTCGTGCGAAGGTATTACATACCAATTTGATACGTCTTCAGCGCATAATTACCTAACGAGTACTTTGGCTTCCCTTAAATTCAGCATTTCTTTAATAACAGGCTAGCGATCAGGACTAAATAAGATCTTTGCCTCTACTCGACGCGACGCATTATTACACGTCAAATATTTTCACGGTT